AGTGGAGTAGAGAAAGGTTGGGCTTACAACGCTTTAGAGATACAAAGAAAAAATGTAAAACATATATTCCCCCTCCGACTTAAATGGAAGATTTGCAGAGACTTTTCCTGCAAGGTATAAGATTCTCCGGGTGTTCCTGAAGTAACAAACATGGCTTCGTCATGAATAGCGCCTTAGATTCTTAGAAAGTGCTAAGTCTGGACTGAAGTGATGCAAGTCGGCATCCTGGTAGATCTCACCCATGAACAGAATTTAAATCTACAGGATTTAGTTCCATAAAATATTCAAGGGACTCCATGCGCTGGATTCCTTCGCTCTCGGATTAATCAACCATTGTGTAAATCGCTAGGGACAAGAATCATCGTCCAATACGAAGACGTAATTACCAATTGCGCTCCTGAACAACTTGACCAAAAACTCAAGAATCTCGTATCTAAATCGCTCAGCATTCATAGTTGCACTTGTAAACATTTGTGTGTGTGTTGAACCCATTCGAAATGATGATTGCCAATGCCATTACTTCATCACTTTTGCAGCAATAAATTTTACGGATATGCCAGGCTTATTGCATAGGTTTTGCACCCTCCAGGTTGCAGTACGACTCAAAAATTATCCAAATGACTCATCAGTAAAATGAACGCGGCTCAAACCTAGGCCATGGTACTCCAACCATGATGATTATAGTTCGACCGTCTCAAGCGCAACCCTGGTTGGCATTCTGCCAAAACACATAGACTCGCCCAAAAGGGGCGATATTACTTGCTGCGATGTGAAAGTTCTCTTCTCCAGAAAGAGAGATATGCTGGAGGGAAAGAAAGTCCCCATCCTTCCACCCTGTTTTGAGAATAATTTTTAATTAATGTTTGAGAACGAATGGCGCATGAGTTTTGCGCTCACTGTCGAACTATATCTGCAATATTTTAATTGAATGCATTTGGTAGCCCAAGTTAGTAAGCCTTGATTTTTCTTGCGTATAGTCTTTTATCCAGCCTGTCACTTCTAGTATGTCTAGATAATAGAGTTCAAATAGCTCCCGCAAACACCTTTTAATTTGGCTGACATAGTTGGTCTATTTAGTTTAGTAATCTTTGCTAAGTAAAATGCTTATAAATTTAGTTGTAGCATGTTTTCCCCCTTTATCTGACTAAATGCTTACATCAAGTATCTTTAAACCGTTTCCAAATAGATTATGCTTTGGGTTAATTTAAGGATTCTTCAAACAGTGTCTGTCCTGTTTTCATTCTTCCAATCACCTACCATTTCTCAAAATCCGTCAAAGTGACTCTCAGTGACATGTCCCATCTTCAGCAGGCTTCATTTTTATCCAACTGCTCGTGTATTTCTTTAAATTAGAATATGATGCACCCCGTTGTACTCCTTAGCGAAGGCTAGTCCCTTTCGGACTACGTGATAAGGTTGACTTTAAGCTACCAAGTAATTACCTTTCTTAAGAGTTCGCATATCAGATTTAACGCAAAACCTCATTGTATAGTAATTATCTTAATTTTTATGCCAATACATATTAAAATATCGAACATATAAAAAGCCGAATATTGAGAAATCCCCACATTAAACGGGCTTAGAAGTTTCTGTAACTATTTCATCCACGCTAATGGAAAAATAAATGGAAAGGAATTATTCGATAAATAGTGAAAGTTTTTTCAAGTCAACTGTGAGGACAAATACAATAACTCAAACCTTTTTAGTCATCTTGTAAGGTGTATTTTAATTTCCTAACAGTTATTTTTAATTTTGAAAATCTTTCATTAAATTCCTATTTCCCACTTACAACTCCCTACCAGAATGAGTTTTCAGACTCGCCCTGATTGTAAATAAGGTAGGAAAAGTACATAAAGGAAGTTTCGCTTCACTCAGCAAAAGAGCTTAGCAGTCCTTAGTGGTGCGCGTTTGCCATCAGACTACTTCGTTGTTAACTTAATATGCTTGACCGTATTTTATGTGCCTACGTGATATTCGCCGGCTAATTTTATTTAAGGGCCAACTACGTTAAGTAATTGTATATAGCTTCGGCTAAGTCAGTTTAGTTCAGCTTTAGATTAGTTTCTTTTTTTGTGTGTGTTTAGATTAAAGCCCAAATGGAGGCTTTTCTGAAAGCCCGACAAGGAGCCGACTATTATTATTTCTTTGAGTGAATAAAAGAGTATTTTAACACTTTTCTGGACTTAGTCGTTTTCGCACTCGAACTTAGTGATAAGTCGCTACATAGTTCAATCCAGTTCCACTACGTTAAGCATAGACGAAGTAGTTATGAACATTAAAATCTATTTTCAAATGTTAATTAGCTTTTGAATATGCCAATATATCTTTAAATTACAAAAAAGGCAAAAATTTTTGCAATTTAGGAAACTTCTCTAAAATAATCACTTATGAACTCATTACCTGTAATCCTCTTCCAGTCGTAAATAAAAAAAAAGGCATAAAGTTGTATCAAAATTTAGATAAAAAAAACACTCCGAACAAATATTAATTTAGAAGTCTAACAGTAAAAGTCAGCGTTATATTTGCAAATTTTAACAGGACTTGTTTCGATAGTTAACAATGACGCTATAATCCTTGGTCGGGAACAGCCTCCTCAGCTGCCAAAGAGCGAATGAACGAGATACATTATAGTGATAAGATAAGAATGGCTGGTCAGGGGTTAAGCTACTGGCGCCATCTATTGATGAAACAAGGAAACTAAGCTGCCAAAGAGCAAATGAACGATATATATTATAGTGATAAGATAAGAATGACTGGACAGGAGTTAAGCTACTGACGCCATCTATTGATAAAACAAGGAAACTAAAACATAATTTCTTAAAGGCTGAAGGTAAAGATGGATTGAAATTAGGTCGTTAACTGGAAAAGAGTGATTTTTTAAAATGTGAAACGCCTCTAGAAAATCTAATTCACCAATGTAAGATGTTTTTTAATAATTTTGGATGCAGAAAAATGGAAAGCATCATTTTTGACCAACAACTATACCGGACTATACCTTTGCTCTTTGGCAGCTGAGGCTGATCGTTTGATAAAACCATAGAAGCTAGACCTGTGAAAAGTTTCAAATATAACGCTGATTTTTGTTGTTTGTCTTCTAAATTAATATTTGTGTCAAACTCTTAATGTTTTAGAAAAATAAGGAAAATGAAGCAATTTCCTCAGAGAGAAATACATATTATGTTATTGTATTGGTTTTAAAGTTCTAAATGCTTTAATCCAATATGATTAATGTGTTGAATACACATTGTGAAATTAGTAGTGGAATAATAGGTGATTTCGAGACTGCAGGATATAAGACAGATGAAAAGGTCGTACATGAATAGTATATATTGTAATTTTTATTCTTTAGGTCATTATAGCGACAGGATTTATACCTGTTTTCAGCAATGCCAGAAGTCAAAATTTGTCATCTACTTGTACTCAGAAAGTGTTTCTTAACTCTTATGTGCAGGAAAATATTTGGGTTATTTTTCTGGCATGCAGTAACTGCTTTCCCCATCTTAGAAGAATTCACGATTCTATACATTGTACGCATAGGTGGCAAAATTGATGCGCGTGGCCGTTTCTAGTTAACATACACCAGTAACTCTACCTTCAAACAAAACTGGTCCTATTAAACTTAGGCATGACAAATCCACACAAAACATCAACCCCAATTAACTTGACTAATTAAATTAATTACGTTAAGCATAGACGTATGAACGTGTGGATTTTATTCGGTCAAGCACAACATCATTTATAATTTAACATATGCTGAAACTATTCGCAAAACTCATTCAGCAATACAGATAGTGCTCAATTAATGGACATATTAATACTGGACGTACTCTTTCCAATTACCATCTTTCAGAATGCGTCTTACTGTTGAACTGTTAATCCTCTTTCATATTCACATATCGGATTTCAGAGGCGACGTTGTAAACATTTCTAAAGCCCTAACTGAAGAAGCAAGACTTCTTCAGTTAGGGTTTACAACGTCTTCCGTGTAATTAATATAACAAATTCTACATACATTTCAAAATTGTCACGAAGGCGTCTAATTCTCAAGCTTGTTACATCACGGGTCACAATCGTGAGAGTATCATCATCTGTTTAGGGGTTTAAACAAACTACGTATTTGTAAACATAACTTCGGTACGTATTGTAATGATACTACTTATTGTAAAAATAATTTAATTCATCTTCAAAACCAATACGCAAATACTATCTGTTATGTTTATATATTTCGGACGGGCTCTGTGTGCATGCAGACGTGTATTAAATTATTAACGAGTGAATACATAGAGAGTTATTCATAATTTGGTGAAATATTTTTTAATTCATTACAAACAAACTAGGCAGTAGATTCTAAATTTTATCACTGAAGTGATTTTATGTGAAATACAAAAGTGTAATGTTTGCTCGTTTGCATATATGAAAGACATCTATGCATCGTTAACAAAGCTTACATATTTGAAAAAGGTGATTTATATCACTGTTGAATAAAACCGGTATTATATCTACAATCTCAAAAGCGCGTCGAAATAAACATTTCTCATTTTTAAATTTTTCTTTTATTATTTCTGGATATCTAATTGGCTGAGTTATGTAAAAAGTAGTTCTTTGGGTAAATAGTACGAGGGATAAAGTGAAACATTTTCAGTTTTTCAAAATGTCCAGCGTACTATAGTCTGGACACCGGTTCTTGTGAAATATAGTTTTGCTAAGAATCCTCCAATGGTAGGAGAAGGAAAAGCTCATTTTTTGTAGCTCACACGTTAGATGTGATGACCCCATTAGAATGTAATGACTTTTTACCCCCCCCCAGTTATTGGCCATACCATCTAGCCATTGGTAGATATTTGCTCATACTCATCTATCGAAAAAGAATGCTTCTTCTTACCTTTCCGCTTACAGTCCCACATATGGCAAATTTTAAAGTATAACCGAACTCGCTGCATCAGTTATTTTAAGAAATACCAGTGAAAATTATTCAAAGAAGACAAAGAAAAAATACTTACACAACACATTCAGAGTTAGTGTGGCTTTGGTCTGTCCTTCATCATTCTCCGCTATGCATTGGTAGATCCCTGAATCAAGCCTAGAGACATTCTGTACATAGAGAACAGGTCCCTTGGTATGAATTCTCTTCGTGGAATCATCGCTTTCTAGGAGCGAACCGTTTCTATTCCATATGTAGATAATGTGCTCTGGATATGCTTCAGCAGTCATGTTGATAGTGGTGGAACTCCGCTCTACGACATCAACAGTGTGAGAAGTCCGCGAAAAGACAGGAGAATCTAAAAGAAATTACATAATATTGTATAAGACGCATTTTAAATTCATAAATATGGAAAATATTTACCTTTTATTTCGTTACGGAATACACTGAAACAGTTTATGCATGCATGGCAATAAACTTTTTACTAGTAATTTAAACCTTCCATAATGTAGAAATATTATAAGCAAATGAAGTATCTTAACAGTTCTTTCTTATCTAAGCAAAAAAACCAACTAAAATACTTATTTTATAAAGTAACGATCATTATGGTAATAATTTGGTACTGCCTAGCTAGGCTATCACGGTGTTAAAAATTTGGTACTGCCTAGGACTTGCGTGAATCATTTGGTACTGCCTAGACTTGCCTGAATCATTCATGAGGAAATTTTTTTTGCCTCTAGTAACATTGCTTGTTCCTTTATATTCTGAGATAAAATTCATATTCTTGCTTGTAAAGTAAAAACTAGTTTCTGTTTAATTTAAATTAATCTCTGATAATATTATAAATTTCTATTATACATTTGAAAAAATATGAGTATAACTACTCCACCCTGAACAAAACTACAAGTTTTATATTAAATTACTAGAATATTTTTCTGAAATTGACATTCCGGGAAAACATAACTCTGCTTCCTTTACTAATCAACTGCAATCTTTATTTTCTTTTATTGTCTACGAAAAACATTTGAATTATAGCTCAATAATTAGTGTAGCAATTATTAGATCCATTACCTATTACTATAATTATTTATAATTTCTCTCTATTACTGTAATTAGTGTATTAAATCAAGTTATTAGCAAACATATTTTAATAGAGAGCCAATTAAATTAGATTATATAGTGTTTAGCTTATGTAACGCAAAGTCTAAAAATTATTTTACATTAAATTAAAATAAAAAATATCATTGTAGTGTTATGATGAATTAATTGCATTATTCGCATTTAAAAGTTACTTCTAGAATTTTTCAGATTTCTTCAGTTTTGACATCGAAAAAATTCTAAATGTCTTTACAAGTGGCGTCCAAACTAAAATGTAGTGGACCATAATTTGTCCGGTATAGTATCTTCCAGAATTTAGGAATTGGGTCTCCTAATTTTCAGACGCACTTTAAAAAGAAGGGAGAATATAAGGTATTTTCTCCCTCTTTTCAGTATGTATTTCGTGTTGTAACCGGAAACACGCTTGGCGCGTATTCGGGAATTTCAGAAGTCAAATCGTAGCGAGGTCAGTGACCATTTTTCACGGTTCTGGATCGATGTAGTGTAATGACTACAAATGCTAGATTGCTTTGTGTTTTAAACAATAATTAGCCCAACTTGCGCACAGGGACTATACATTTCGTTTTGGCACTTTACGTTGATTCACTATAAACGGCGAATCATTTTTTAAATTTTTGCCACCAATTACTAGAACCCTGTATTATGTTTAAAGAAATTAAATAATGCAAAACCTGCATAAATGTTTGTATGTTTCTCCCATTGTGATAAAACAACGGTACCTAGAGCCATCAAATTTTGAATAACATACGTCTCCATTCGATTATGGGCATCTGGAAGCCCAAATTGGAATTTGAAATTTGTTTTATTATCTATTTCATATTTTGTAAAGCATTTATGAGTTTTTGATTAAGACACTCAACGATTTCAAAGGTATCAATGGCAATACTGTCCGAAAAAAAGAAACATTTTTATCTCCAGAGCATGAGACTGTGTATTGGAAATTCTACAGATGTGCTCTTTTAAATATAAAAGTAAAAATATTATGTTAAACATCTTTTAAATATTTAAATACTGCTGTTGTATTGAATTTTATGGCTCAAGTGCTGAGAGCATGATATTGTTACGGTTTTTGTATTTATTTTGGTATTTTTTTTAGTAGAATTGTTATTAAATTGCTTTATTTCCTCGTGCAATACTGCGCGCGACAAGTTTCAAGATAGTTTAGACAGTTTAATATTTGATAGCATCTGGTTTGTTTAAAACTTACTTATTGCAATCATTGTTAATGTTTTTTGCTTTTTAATGTAATGTTTATTGTTGCATTGATGCCTTAGTTGTAAGTTTGGCTTCCAGTCCACGGATTGTACTCCCCGGGACGTGCAGTCCTTAGGAAGGGGGCCAGTGTTACGATTTTTGTATTTAGTTCCCCGTGCAATGCTGCGTGTGACGATTTTTAAGAGAAAGCTATGCCGAAAAAAAGTTAAAATACAGGCACACGCGCCTTTAAACGTTGAAAAACATTCCTTTGGGCGTAATATAAAATCTGGAAACTCTCAGATCTTTTTTTTTTTTTTTTTTTTTTTTTTTTTTTTTTTAATCTCTGCTTTTTTTTAAAAAGTGGCATTTTGCTTAGTAGCAAATAGTAGATGTAGAAAACAATGCCATCTAGTATCCGGTAAAACTTCGTAAACCTCAGAAAAATTAAGAACGAGAATAGGCTAGAGCAAATATCTTCCATGCATTTGCGTCCCTCATAAATCAGTTCTGTTTTTTATAATTGTCTTGTAGGTACTCTAATTCCTAGATCTTGATTTGAAATTGACGTAATTTTAAATGTTCCAGCCCTCAATTTCTCAACAGGTTATTAAAAATTTTCAATTTCCATCATTATTATATAATGAAATTTTTTGAGGTTCTATGAGTGATGGCACTCAGTGCCAGATTTTAAAAGCTATGGTTATTAAGGGAAATTTAAGGAATTGTTATGTTGATAAATGTTTGTATTTCGTTATGAAAGAAATCAGGTTAATTATTTTTCTTATTTAGGAAAAATCTGAATTTTTATTTAATTCTTTGAATTATTAATTTGGTGTTTTATTATTTATGAATTAATTCAATATTGGATTATGTAAATATTTTAATTTTGGGGGAAAACAGATGCTTTAATGAATTTTATTATATTTCTTTTATTTGAATTTAATCAAGATTTCTGTGTTTTAATGAAAGGATCAAGGAAAGACGAATTTGCGCCTAGTCATTCTCTCTCAGGGTGGCGTTATTTCCGTAGAAATTTCTAGAAGGAAATTGTTATGTTTCGGGTGATCTTTAGGACAGGAAGTGCGTGACGAGGGGTCTATAGTTGTCATTTCACGTACAGTGGAGGTCCTTTAATTGGCGATCTAAGTGTCCGGCCGTTTGGCTGCTTTAGAGAAGTGGCGCATGTTCAGTATGCATTTTCTGGTCTTTCAGGGTGAAAAGTGGAAGTTTGGTCCCGAAGGGGGGCGAAAAATGAAGCCTATGTGGTCATCTTGTTTTTTTGAAAAAAGTGAAGGAGGATCTTGATGATAGGACACTTTTCGCTCGGGTCGTGGTAAGTGATGGTCATTTTTAGTGCGAGATACGAAGGCTAAGGAAAAGTAGAGAAGCTGCATTTATGCTCCCGACTAAAGTTCCGAGTAAAACAGAGTTCTAGATGTTTAGAGTGATAGTCGGTTTGCTACCCGACTGGTAATATTAGCTGGATGAATGCTTATAGTAGTATTCGGCTGAGAAGTGTAAAAAGAAAGGTTTGTTCTACATTTTGGTTCCAGCTTCATCCTGCTGCTTTTGTTGAGAGCTGGTATGACGGTACGTTATGCCTTGTGGCTGGTTGCACGTTGAACGCTAGTTTTACCTCCCATGGTCTATGGAAGAGTCTTAGTCATCCCGAGTTCCATATATATCGGACTGCGTCCCACTAAAATGTGTTAATACTACTGCATGATATGTCTACTATCCCTTCCTGCAGCCGTTGGATAAAGATAGAATTGTATTACACGTGTACACGAGTTGGGAATTGAACGTCCTTAATTGAAGACGGAAGATGTTATTTCGCATTTATACTCCCATGTGACGAGCCTTCTTCTGAAACGCTACAAGTCGCTGTGTTCGTAAAATCCTGACTGTTGCCCGGATGTCTTCTGCATACAGGAGCCGAGCTGCGATGCAGTATTTTGAGAAATTTTGGTTCCATTCATGAGTTTTCGACGGCAGTCCTTAGGTACTTTAGTTGGAGTCCTAGTTCTCCTTCTATCTACAGATAAGAGTTTTTCTTTATTCATCCTATAACTAAGAAAGGGATTAGTAGTTTAGCATGAAAGTAATTCAGACAGGAACTTACGTAACTGAACTTTATCTTGGTAGAAAATTCGTCTTGCTCCTCTATCCTTTACAGGAACTTAAATTTAGGCTGAAAGCTCGATATAATTAATAATGAAAATTTTTTATGAAATAATCATTAGTTCAGATATTAAATTCAGGCTTAAAACAAAAGAGGGAAATGTGCATCATGCCTTCATTATCTTAATCAATTATCTTAATAGCTTCATTATCATTCAACAATTATCTTAATAGCTTCTGTTGAAAATTAGGTAATTATGGTATATTTGTAACATTTTAAATTAAATAAAATATGAAAATATAATAGGTAATTTATAAGAAATAATAATGTGAAATTAATTATAATCTGAGGAGATTTAATAAACTTATTATTAATTTGAAATCTATAGTATGCTTTCATTTTGTGTATTGCATTTATTTATTATCCGATCTTTTCCTGAGCACAGTCTCGATCAAGTCATACTCACAAAGCAATGACTCACGTTTAATTACGATCACAATTATGTCTAATTTGCTAGCACTTATATTTTTATGATTTCTTAGGTTTGCTAGTTTAGTTAATTTAAAGTTTAATTAGTAATATTAACTTTGTTACGGATTCACCAGATAATATTGTAAAACCACAAAAAAGCACAATATTACAGAATTTATGTACAACAAAGTTAATCCAAAATACTGAAATTTGATTTCTCTTGGATGTACTAAAATCTTATTTTAAAACTTTACAAAATATACTTATGCAGTTGGATGTTTCTAAGAATGCACCTTTTTTTCCCAAACCTGTTTTGGGAGTGAGAACGAAAGATTTGTTTCTAAGCTTATTCAAAATAAAAGGAAGTTCTCTGGAAAATATGGTCGTTACCCTCAAAGCTGGATTAAATAGAAAAGCTTAGATACGATTCGTTCATGACAGGAAAAGCT